TTTTGGATTACCTAAGCACATATTATCTGTGAAGAAAGACAGTCTAATTGCTTCCTTTCCAATCCTCATGCCTTATTTCTCCTGCTTCTTTGCACCGACTAGGGTCTCTACGTGATGTTAAGTGATGAGAAGAGGCACCTTTCTCTGTCTCCTAATCTGAAAGAAAACATATTGAACATTTGACCATTAAATATGATGTTTAATATAGTTCTTACTTTTAAGTGTTCCTTGTAAATATTAAGGACATGTTGATTGCAACCTTGTGAGACCCAGCTAAGCCATGCCAGACTCCTGAGCCACTCAGACTGAGAAAATGTTCGTTGCTTTAGGCTGCTAAGTTTCTGGGGGAATTAGTTATATAATGAGTGCAGAAGGGATGTGGAATCCTCCCCTCAAAGTCCCACCTACAGTGATGGTAGCAGCATCGTGCGGCAGAAAGGGCACAAGTTTTAGAATCAGGTAGACTGGGAGGTCCATTCCTACCATGTTATTTAATATTAGCCATCTCAGTTTTCTCCCTGGAAAATGGAGATAATATCCCCCTCTTAGAGGTGCTGTGGTTCCGTGTGGTAAGGTGAAATTCTCAGTAGTGTCGGGCACACAGTAAATATTTAAATGCAGTTCCCTGTCTTCCCTTCTTTTATGAAAGTCCTCTAGCCTATCATGTCCTTTACGTACGCTGATCATATTTCCTAGATATCATCATAATATATTGTGTAGCAATGGGGTAGAACATGATATGGAAATTCAGGGACATCTCATCACTAAATCATTGTACAAGCTTACCTTCACTTTTTTTGACAGGCTTTAAAAACTGCCTGTGCTAAACACCTGGATTCTTCCTCCCCCTGGTTGGGCCACTGTTGTGCGTCACAATGAGTTAGGTACCTCATGTCACTGGCAGCTGAGCCAGCTGTGTAGGACCCACTTCACAGTGAACCCACAGGCCTTGCTTCACACTGAGCTCTTACAATCTTTGTGGCTGTGTTAGGAGTGAATGCTAAGAGGTGATGTCATCTCCCGTCACCAGTGCTCTCTCTGTAATGGATGTCTGCTGCAATGTGGAACGGGGCCCCCAAGATTAGAGGCAGCCCAGTGAGGTGGGATTTGGGGCTGGAAAATGAGACTGAAACTCCAACCCACATCTCTGCGTTTATAGGACCCTGGGTAAGTTGTTTTCTCGGAGCCTGTTTTTTACACCTGTAAAGTGTGAATAAGAGTATTTACCTCCCCGGGGTCATTTTGCAGACTATATTGGGGGATTTGGGGAGCATTTAGCAATTAGTAGGTACTCGATACATTTTAACAAGTCTTTCTTGTGTCCAGCTGGTCTGGCTCAGTGGTTGAGTGTCGACCCATGAACCTGGAGGTCACGGTTCAATTTCTGGTCAGGGCACATGCCCAGGTTACAGGCTCGATTCCCAGTAGGGAGCGTGCAGGAGGCCGCAGATCAATGTTTGGCTCTCATCACTGATGTTTCTCTCTCTCCCTCTCCCTTTCTCTCTGAAATTAAAGAAAAAGTTAAAAAAATAAGTCTTTCTGTGCCAAGGGGTCAAACGGTGGACTGGCAGGATGCTGACACTACTTGCTACTTGAAGTGTGGTCTAGGGCTCAGAGCACGGGCACTGGCCAGGAGCTTGAATCTCGGGCCCACCCTGGACCTGCTCAATCAGGATTTGCATTTGCACAAGATCCCCGTGAGTAGCAGTAACTTAGAGGAGAGACTGAGAGGACATAGGATGTTGAAAACATTGTGGCAAAGGCGGGTTTGCGAATGTTTTGGGCACTCCCTGTGTCTGTCGCATCCAAATGAGAATTACTTTCTCTTGTCATGAAGCTGAACTCCGGCGAGGACTCGCTCTAGCACAGAAAAGCCAAACCACTAATCTGAATAAATAAGCATCAATTTTATTGAATCATGAATAATTTAAGACTGGTACAATCATCAGCTTTCTTCTCCATGACGTGGGGCATGATCTCCAGCAGGTCACTGGCAAATCCAAAAACCTCATGACAAATGAAAATTAAATAGGGAGAGAGGGAGGGGAGGAGAAAGGGGAGGGAGGGTGGAAACATACCGTACACAAAATACTCAATTCCTAGTTTTCTCTTTAAAAATGGCTAGAAAAAATTCATCAAAATGCAGCACTTTAATCGATTATTTACAATTTCTATGTTACAATGAGAAAATGTACATCTTATAGAACATATTTCATAAACTGCTCCACTGGAAAACAACCAGATCAAAACAGCAAACCTCCCGCTGAACATCCACAAAGTTGGATTTTTTTTTTCCTTTTGAAATAGATTCGCCACGGTCAAATTTGAACACAGAATTCGGAAGTTGACAGAATCAACAATTAAATAAAAAATGTTCCCAAGATACAACAAAGGTGTAGGCAAATCTCGTCCCTGATCCCACCCCACCCCACCCCCAACCTTAAATTAAAAGGTATTCCCATCTCATTTATGGCCTGTGTACGTCTTGGTAGTTTGGGAAGGAAATTTTGGCTTCCATTGGTAACTCAACATAAATGTTGCATAGAATTTCATACATTTCAAAATTAGCCTAACTGTAGAAAAAGGCAAAATGGAAGCATTTCGGACAGAGCCCTAAATGAGCACAAAGTCACTTTGTCAAAGGTGAGTGACACTAATAAAGTAAAATATGACCAAGAGGAGAAATGTGCATATCAGACAACCCTGCTTCCCGAAGCTGTAGGAAAGTGACTGAGTTGTGAATCACACAAGGACTACACTACTCGGAATTATGCTCACTAATCGGGCAGCACCAGGGACAGAGGTCTCGGTTCTGAGCCTGGACCCAG